AGAGCGTGGGGATGGAAAGATGATCGAAAGAGTGGTCAAAATAAAACGAGCAAGTATTCCAAGTGGTATTTGCTGCCAGTGCCAGCCTGGAATCAGGTTACAAAGAATGTAATAATATAATAATAATCCTTGCATTTGATATGCGCTTTTCACGTCTTCTCGATGTCTCAAAACGCTTCACAGAATAGACTGTAAAGTGAATTGACAGTATACGTGTGGGCGAAACGCCACAGCGAATTGCGCACAGCAGTGTCCCACAAACAGTCATGGATTGAAAATGACCCATTTATTGTGTTTTGTTTTTGGAGGGATTGTTATTAGATGTGTGGAGTAAGGAAACTTGCCCAAGGTTTTGCCCTGCCTGGAATTGAACCCAGGTGTCTCGCTTGCAAAGCGAGTGCTCTAACCACTGAGCTACAGGACATAAATGCATGAATTAAGGAATTAAGGTCTGAGCAGTTGTCATTCAACATTCAACTGCAGAAAGTTAGAGCTCATCCAGGACTTGATGTATAAGGTTATAGCCATATCTCTCATGCAAAATAGCAACTCAGCATATTCCTAAGTTCATAAAATGATCTTGAACACAATATGAGGCTGTGCGTGATGTGACTCTCAATATTTCAAGTCTGATTAATTGGGTAAACCTCACACTTGCTGGAATATGTTATAGGCTGTTTTATTTCACTCGGTCATTAAATTTACGTACAGGATAATTAGATGAATGATGTGACGAGGCTGAGGTGGTTGACATAGCAAAATATACTAATTAACGGACTGCTTCTAAGCTTTTTTGAATGAAGCTGAAGTTATTAAATGTGCCAAGTTGCACCATAAATAATGTGGCATTTCCTAAATCAGCACTGCACAAAGGTGCCTTATATTTCTTGTCATACCGGTGGAAAGTTAGTATGATGAACAACTGTTTGGGGCATGTTTACAGCATTGTCACTATATCAGTTCCAGTCCTAAATAAAGCAGGAATGAGAGCCAGTGAAACCCATTCTGTTCTTCCAGACCATTGCTCTATATCAACACACTTTTTCCTACACAATACAATATAGATTTACATTTATTTAGGGCCTTTCTTGTCGGGAGGATGACTGAAGATGCTTAACAGTAATAGCTTGGCACCTGAGGTGGAGGTGAGAGCTAAAGCCGTATAGGGAAGGGAAATCGCAGTCAAAATGAGATGAGGGAGGGAACAAGGCAGAGGGACTCTGGGATGGATTTCCAGAGAGTGGGGCAGAGAGGTTGAAAGTCTGACAGCTCGCTGATGGTGGGGCGGGTAGGTTGGGAGACAGGAAGCAGGCCGGTGCCTGCTGAGTGAAGGGAGAGGCTAGATTGTGGAGGGATTTAAAAGTGAGAAAAGATTCTTGAACTCAATCCCCTGGGCAATGGGGAGCCAGTGGAGCTGGGGTAGGATGGTTTGATTCGCTCGCAGAGTCTGTTACAGGAAAGGACATGGATTGCAAAGGTTTGGATAGTCTGCAACTTGTGTAGGGAAAAGCTGGGTAGTCCAGCAAACAGAAAGTTGGCATAGTCAAGCCTGGATGACATAAATGCATGAATTAAGGTTTCAGCAGTTGTCATTCAACATTCAACTGGAGAAAGTTAGAGCTCATCCAGGACTTTATGTCTCACAATCAGTCAGAACAACAGCGTTCCTGGAATCAAGGGTGAAGGCAGAGAGATAGAGTTGGGTGTCATCTTAAATGATCATGAACAATCCTTCCAGATAAATGCTTACTTGTAGCACAGCTAGTGAGAAAAGAGTTGAGTGTAGCACGAACTTTAGGCCTCTAAACTGAGAGGGGTAGATTGGGCAGATATTATCGAGTTGACTCGACTGTGTGGTAAGAACTGGAGGTCACATGTTCATTGTTTGCCCAAAAAACACATAGTCATCGCACTTTACAGTATATCCCGTGAAGTGCTTTGAAATGTCTCAACAACGTGCTATATCAAATGCAAGGATTGTTATTATTATATTATTGGGACCCCAGCAAGACAGAAAACAGGAAGAGGCCATTCAGCCTATTAACCCTCTTCACCAGTTTTAGATTTTGGCAGATTTTTTTATCTACGTGCCATAGTCCTTAATACCTCTTAACATGACCAGACATCTCCTGTCTACTGGTAGTGGAGCAGACCTCTCTTGTGGTTCAATCCTGCGATGCATGAGGGAGACAGGAAGAAAGGGCTTTTGGGAAGGCTAAAGAAAAGGATTAATTTAGGTGGAGGCTCAGGTGGACTATAAACACTCTATAATCAATGATAACTGGTGACAGTTAATACATTGCAAGAGTTTCATTCTTTATTTTTTAATGGCAATTAAACCAGTGTTGGTAGTTGGTTTGTCTGGGATCCAGTACATGAGAGTTTAATTCTACTGTGCCTCAAAGAACTGAAATTCATGAGAACTCACTGTCAAGGAAGGAGCCGTGGAACTTGCATGATTACAACAACAACAACAACAACAACAAGATTCCATTTATAAAGCGCCTTTCACGTCAGGAGGACGTCCCAAGGCGCTGCACAGTTGGGTCATGACCCAAGCAGGGGGGAAATGGTCAGGGTGAGGGGAGGGGAGGGAGCGAGGAGGGAGGAAATGGTCAGGGTGAGGGGAGGGATGGGAGGGAACGAGAAGGGGGAAGAGAGTCGAGAGGGGAGCTGAAGGCTCGGTCAAAGAGAAAGGTTTTGAGACCGGCCTTGAAGGAGGAGAGGGAGGAGGCGGCGAAGGCACTGGGGGATAGAGTTCCAGAGCCTCGGGGCTGAGAGGCTGAAGGCCCGACCACCGATGGTAGGGCGATTGGGGCGGGGGACGTGGAGCAGACCGGAGCCGGAGGAACGGAGGGTACGGGCAGGTACGTGGGAGGATAGTAGGTTGGAGAGGTAGGAGGGAGCAAGGCCGTGAATGGCCTTGTAGGTGAGGATGAGGATCTTGAAATCAATCCTCTGGGAGATGGGGAGCCAGTGGAGGCGAGCGAGGGTGGGAGTGATGTGGTCCCGAAGCCTGGTGCGGGACAGTACACGAGCTGCAGAGTTCTGAATGACCTGCAGCTTGTGGAGGGAGGATTAAAGGTTTACGGGATACCAAGAGAACGTAAAAAAAGTAGGAACTGTTTTCATGTACTGTGCCTGTTGCAGCATTGGTAAACTCAAGAGAGACCTAGTTAGAAGCTTGATGTAGAAAGCTTGAGAGGTATGAGAGATGGAATAATGTATGTTATGTTTCAAACTTCACACTCCCTCTGGCACACTTCCACATCTGCAGTTCTCTGGGTGGGCAGGTCCATACCTCAGGCTACACTACACAGTAACTTGCGTATCAATGTTGCTCCAAGGCTGGCAGCATGCTTTCCTCAGGTCAGAACATCAAAAGTCCACGTAGCAATACACACATCCACACACACCCCACACACATTCACACACAAACACACACACACAACACAAACACACACATACACCACACACCCTCTCTGTATAGCAGTTCCAGTAGAGAAATGGTGGAGTTTACTCCATTGTGAAACATGGAGATCAAAGGGTTGCAAAGGCTGGCTATTTAGGTATGGGCTGATGTGTGCAATTCCGTTGCTCCCATAATAAAGCTGGACTGGCTTCTGAGTCCAGGTATATTTTATTGTTGGGCTGATGCTCTGCAGTATTATTTCGAAGCATAATTTTCAACTGTAGTTATAATTTTCATTCACAGTAATCCGACTCTGTAATATACACCATAAATCATCACCTGAGCTCCAGCCAGCCAAATTATTGGATTTACCATCAGACATATCACTTTATTGGATCAGTGGTGTAGGCAGAGATCTTGTAGCTGCTGCAACCCAGCATCCTAAACAGCTGGAGCTGCAGGGATGTTGTTTTTAGTGCTAGGTGTGGGCCAGGGATCAGCTCTCTAATGCTAGGTTCTACCCTCATGTTTTTATGCATCAAACCTGAGGCTCCTACACTCTGGTGTCCTCATGTTTGGAGAAATATCATTGCTCCCGGTCAGGAGTGTAAAACGCTTTGAGATGTTGTCACAACATGAAAGGCACCACAGGAATTCTAAATTGTTGTTGTTGCTAACACGTTTGTGGACACAATCAATTACTGAGCTACCTTCTGACGCCAGTGTGCCAGGATAAACCAACTGGTGAAGTTGCCATATTTTCCGAATGAAGCAGACTGATAAATAAGTGAATCCTTCCATTTTATTTATCACAGGAGCAAATGTAGCTGGAAGATTGTGCAAACAACTGACTAGACTGAAAGCTTCCCCTGCAAACTTCACCAGGTTAATTCTTGTTATGGATGGAGCTTGCTGGGCAGGATCTGCCTTTCCATTAACCAAGAGATATTGGTTAATACTGCGGAAGCATTTTTTAAAAAAATAGATTTATAATGCATTGATAGATCAGATCCCAGCATTTCTTGTCAGTGTTTATTTTTCATCCAAACGAATGTGTTCAGAACAAATAGGCTAACTGCTTGCCATCCTTTAACCTGTCAGTTCTGGAGGCATAATATTTATTTACACCCCACAATTACTGGATACTAAGTACGTGGAAAGGATTTACAGGTGCATCAAAAGTCAATTTGCTAAGTTTTCTTCCGCTGCAAATTTATCTATCACATGCACTTCTAAATTTAGATTGTGAATCCTTTACACTGTATTTATCGCATGAGTAAATATAGCTATGAGATTAGGCAAACAATAGTATTTTGACTGTGACTCTGGCTAGACTGAAAGCTTACCCTGCAGACGTCAGCAGGTTAATTTTATTCCATGAGCCACGAAAAGATGAAATATGGTTGGCTGCAAGATGCCTGGACATTATGGGTTGATATTCCACTGCAGAGACTTTGATGATGTGCTTACTGATTTGTAATGGATTATCTTGCCTTGCATAACAGTCCTCCTTGTCAGTAATGTGTGCTTTGATGCTGTGTGCAGTGTCTGTGCTAACCATACAAATTTTTTTCCCCTTTTCTTTCAGGTTGACTGGTTTGAATCTGCCTTCCCCAGTCATTAGCAATAAGAACTGGCTGCGCCTGCATTTCACATCAGACAGCAATCACCGGCGCAAAGGATTTAACGCACAGTATCAAGGTGAGACAGTATCCAAGTCAGACAAGTACAGATAGCAAACTATCTTTGACTGGAGTCAAGGAAGAAATTAGAACTTAATTCATTGAACTTGTTCTTCTGTCCTTTGTTAACTGTAGAGTTAATTTAATATTTAATACATTAGCCTTATTCTGATATGCTGAAGATAAATCTTTAACACATCCATACACACGTTCCCAATAACACTTCCAGGGTAATGGCCATGAAGCTGGATCTCCAAGTATTCCACACCACTATTTCTGACATGTCCATTCTTGTTGAGATACTAGATTGTGTCATCACCACTGATGACATCCTATGTGACTATAACTGGGGCTCTCTTGTCACCTTTGCAGTCTTTTTGCACTGTTGATTGCTCTAATTCTCCTCCATTGCCTTTCCTCCAATTGTTTTTTTTCCTCTTTCCTGTGGCAGAGTTCCTTTCCTGCCTGTTCCAATAATAATAATAATGATAATAATCCTTTCATTTGATATAGCGCTTTTCATGTCTTCTAGACGTCCCAAAGTACTTCGCAGAATATGCTGTAAAGTGAATTGGCTGTATATTTGTGAGAGAAATGTGGCAGCCATTTATGCACAGCAGTGTCCCACAAACAGTGGTGGATTGAAAATAACCAATTTATTATTGTTTTTTTGTTTTGGAGGGATTATTATTAGGTGTGTGGAGTAAGGAAACTTGCCCAAGGTTTCGCCTTGCCTGGAATTGAACCCAGGTGTCTCGCTTGCAAAGCGAGTGCTCTAACCACTGAGCTACAGGACTCCAAAATAGCTTCTCTAATGGCTTCTCCCACAAGGTCACCTCTTTTCTGACAGAATCTTCCTTCTGGAACGTAATTACAGTATATTTTCTCTAGTTTAGTCCCATGTTGGGACTTTAGTCTAGGCTGACTCTACAATGCAGGGCTGGGAATGTGTTTCATTGTTGGAGGTGCCATCCTTTGGATGAGTCATTAAACAAGGTCTTGACTGTCTGATCGAGTGAGCGTTAATGGCACTATTCAAAAAGAGAAGGGAGTTTCTCCCCATGTCCTGGTCAACATTCCCTCAGATAAAATTGGTCATTCATTTAATGACTGTTTGTGGGACATTTCTGAATGCAATTGGGCTGCCATGTTCACCTATAAGTACACAGTCACTACATTTTACAGTAAATCCATGAAGGGACCTCCTGATGTGAAGGGATATCACACTCAGGGATTATTATCAAATTCCATTTCTCTATGTGCTGACTGAGCCTTTTTGTCTCCTTAGCAGTTATTAGCAACTCAAATACATTGAACGTGAAATAGTGGCAATGTAATAGTACTTAAATAAAATGTCAATCCAATAGCCTTTAATATTGCTTGAAAATCAAATTACCAAATTAGAGGAAAAATCTAATCTTTTGAATCAGGTAAATTGTTTCTTTAACCCTTTTTTATAATTTCTGATACAAACAAAACATAATGAGTGAAAAGAGCTGATTGTAGCATTAATTCATCTTATAGGAAAGTGGTGCAATACCTCTGTGCCCAATTGGCCATCGTGTTTCTCCCACAAAATATACAGTCAATTCATTTTACAGTATATTGAAGCGCTTTGAGACTTCTCAACAACTTGATAAGGTGCCATATCAAATATAAGGATTATCATTATTATAACCTCCAGTTGTGTTTTGAACATCTCCACATGTAACCTTCTGTCACCTGATTTGGTAGAAAGATATTTTTACATTCTCGATTGTCATGTAGCTTTCACTGATTTGTATATACTGTTGCTGATCTTGAACCCAAAACAGGTAAAAGGTGTAGAGTGTTAGTCTGTCACAAAAATACACAGTCACTACCCTTCACCTTGAATCCTGGGAAGCCCTTTGAGATGTCCTCTCATAAGCAAGGATGAAGGAAACTTCTGTGGTCCTTCTGGCATTGTCGAAACCCCTGTTCTGTACAATGTTAATTGTAACATTGTTGGATATATTGCTCCTGACAATATTATAATAATCCTTGCATTTGATATAGCGCTTTTCACGTCAGGAGGACGTCCCAAAGCGCTTCACAGAACACACTGTAAAGTGAATTGACTGTATATTTGTGGGTGAACGCGGCAGCCAATTGCGCACAGCAGTGTCCCACAAACAGTCGTAGATTGAAAATGACCAATTTAATTATTGTTTTTGGTTATTTGGAGGGATTATTATTAGGCGTGTGGAGTAAGGAAACTTGCCCAAGGTTTCGCCCTGCCTGGAATTGAACTCAGGTCTCTCACTTGCAAAGCGAGTGCTCTAACCACTGAGCTACAGGACTCCATTCACGTGGTGATATGTACCCTCATGTGAACTTTTCCCCACTCCCCTGGATTTGAAGAAAATAGTTGGGCTCAAAAGCCATTGTGGTCAGGACAGTTATCAACTGGGACATCATATCAGGGAAGGGTTTGGAGTTTGAGAGGGTGGGAGGTGGAGAGGGGAACAAACGATTTACCCAAGGACACAGTCAGATATAAGTTTTTAGAAGGGTTTTCTAAGCAGAGAGAGAAGATGCAAGCTAGAGGGATTCAGGGATAGAGTTGCAAAGAGCGGAGGTAAGGTAACTGCAGGTTGGGCCTCTGATACTGGGGCGTAGGACAACAGCAGCCTCAAGTTAGCAAGGCAGAGGGAGATGACAATGGAGTACGATTGGAGGAGATCACAGACATAAGGGGGAGGGACTTGTAGAAGCATTTGAAAGTTAGGAGTATCCTGAAATTGACCCGCAGGGGAATAAGTTGCAAGCAGAGCTGGGCAAACATGGGACTGAAAGGTTCATAGAGCCTGGTACGAGGAAAAGATACAGGCTGTGGAGTTTGGACAAGTTGGAGGTTTTAGATGATGGAGCTGGGATAGCCAGCAAGCAGAGAATAGGAGAAATCAGGCCTGGAGGTGATGACAGGTGTGAATGAAGGATTTGGCTCTGTTGGCAGCAAAGTATGGACAGATTTGTGTGAATTTGCGGGGGTGGAGAAAAGCAGAATTGGTCAAGGACTGGATGAAAGGCTTAACGGAGAGCTGAGGGTCAAGAAATGGAAACTCCGAGGATGTGATCAGAATTACCAATAATATTTCTGACGTTGGATAGCACATTTCGTACTTCTACATTCCTGTGTAAAAGTATCTCATTGCATGGCGATTTTTAACCTTGATGAGAAAGAAATTACCTAATTACATTATATACAAAATGTAATTTTCTGAGGATAGCTTCCTCTGAAAATTAATGGCACACTCTCCCCGTTTGAGACTTTTTGACTTGGTTATATTGGGTTCAGGCCAAGCGAGGACTGCAAGCTCAACAAAATATACCAGACAAATTGCATTCAGTTGCAGTGATGCATCAGTTACCATTTCTAATGGCTTAGTTAGCCATTTTGTTACAGAGTCTAATCTCTTTAAAATGTTATGGAAGGGCACTGACTTGGTGAATGTTCAGACCATAAAATATTATAACCCTGGCAACAGCTGTTCCGCAATAATAATACTCCCATTTGATACAGCACCTTTCACATCAAAACGATATCTCAAAGCACTGCACAATTATGGAAAGTGCAGTGATGACTGTAAAGTGATGTGACTGTATAATTTCTAGATGGACATGGCAGTTAATTTGTGCATGTTAAGGTACCATCAAACAGCCATCGAGTGAGTGACGGATTTGTGGGGAGGGGCAATTTTTAGGATAGACACCAGGGGAAGCTCCTTTCTCTTTTTGAATAGTGCCATGTATTTAATGTCTACCTGACAGGCAGACAGGATCTCGGTTTAATGTCTCATCCAACGAATGGCACCTCCGAAAATGCATTGGAGCATCATCCTAGACTTTATGAGTTCCAAGTCTCCCATTTCATCTCGTATTTGCTTGTGCAAAATCTACAATACAATTTATATTTTATTAATAATAATAATGTTAATTCTTTCGTTTCATATAGCACCTCATCATGACTTCGAGACGTCTCAAAACACTTCGTAAAATATACTGTAAAGTGAATTGACTGTACATTTTTTGGGTGATTAAACCTTTCAGTTTAACCTACAAATACAGACACACCTCAGTAATATAGGGGAACATTTTGAGACCCTTTGACATGAGAAGGCTGTATAAAAATGCAAGTTCTTCATTTGATCAGAAGATTGATTCAGATAAATCAATCCCAGTGTCCTGACCAACAACCCCCAAATAAAATAGACCACTCACTCCAAGGCTGATTGTAGGATATTGCTGTGCACAAACTGGCTGGCACATTCGCCCACAAAATACACACACAACAACAACAACAAAATTACATTTGTATAGCGCCTTTCACGTTGGGAGGATGCCCCGAGGTGCTGGGCAGAGTACAGCATTTCAGACTCGAGCTGGGGTTGGGGGGGTGGGATGGAGGGGAGGGGAGGGGAAGGGGGGTGGCTGATGGCATGGTCGAAGAGGAGGGTCTTGAAGTGGGACTTGAAGGAGGCTAAGGAGGGGGCGAGGCAGAGTTACTGGGGGATGGAATTCCAGAGATTGGGGGCAGAGTGGCTGAAGGCTCTCCCGCCAATGGTGGGGTGGGTGGGTTGAGGGACGTGGAGCAGGTCAGATCCGGCTGAGCGGAGGGAACGGGCGGGTTGGTAGGGGGTTAGGAGGTCGCAGAGGTAGGGTGGGGCGAGGCCATGGAGGGCTTTGTATGTGAGGACCAGGATCTGAACTGGATCCTCTGAAGGACAGGGAGCCAATGGAGTCGGGCGAGAATGGGGGAGATGGGGTCACGGAGTTTGGGGCGGGAGAGGATACGGGCTGCAGAGTTCTGGATTATCTACAGCCTGTGGAGGGAGGAGTTGAGAAGGCCGACAAGCAGGGCGTTTGCACAGTCAAGCCTGGACATGATGAAGGCATGAACAAGAGTTTCAGTGGCCTGAGGGGTGAGGTAGTGGCGGAGTCGGGCGATGTTATGGAGGTGAGGGAAGGCAGAGCGGGTCATGGCTTGAATGTGTGGGA